AGTCCCTTCATCCTAAACAGTTACAGAATAACCAACCTCTTATTTTGTTCCTCTTTCAATAAATCCTATTTTATTTAAATATATCCCAGAATTGAATTCAATCATTCCTCAGGACCACATAGATCCCTGAAAAGCCTAGACCCTGGGTTACTTTACCAGAAAGAAGAACAGAGAGAAGGTTTGGAAATCCTTAAATTCCTGGTGGCAGCCGAATCTACCCATTTTTTTTTAATTTATAATTTTTATTTTATTAAAAAGAAAAACAAACAAACCAACAAACAACTCATACAAACAATGTAACATAATAAATATCGTTCTGGAACTGCCATATAAACAGAATTAAATGTTAGAGAAACTTCATCTAAATATAACAGATAACAAAACACAATAATTTCAAAAATACAATAAGTCTGCATAATGTAAGTTCTTGGGTACAATACCACTTTTTGTTAAATAGGAAATAATCGGAAACCAAGTTGCCTGAAATATTTCTTGTTTACGTTCTGTGTTTTCTCCATGGATATTTTTTGAAATTTTGCTATGCACAAAACATTCCCATAGCTTATTTTGCCAACAATAAAGTGAAGGGGCATCTTTAGCTTTCCAAAATTGTGCTATTGAAATCCTGGCAACCGCAATCATTATTGCTATTTGCATTTGCATGCTTTTGGGCTCTAGGTCTATTAATCCTAATTCTAATACAATTGATTCTATTGAAGCAGGTAAGTAAATAGTAGTAATTTCCCCTATCTGTACTAGAATTTGGTCCCAAAAATTTCGAATTGATGGACAATGCCACCAACAGTGTGAGAAATCTCCCGATTGTCCACATTGTTTCCAGCATGTCGAGGGAATGGTTGGTTGTATTTTATGAAGTCGTGATGGTGTTAAGTACCATCTATGTAGTATTTTAAATGTATTAAATCTAATACTGAATATTGGAGAGACGTTATTAGGTAGGGTCCAAATTGATTGCCAAGTTTTTTCAGATAATGGCTGTGCACTATCTAACTGCCATTGGTTTTGACTTTTCAACCAGCCTACGTCTTTAATTGAACATAGTAATTTGTATAGTTTGGAGAATCTACCCATTTTAATAAAGCAAAGAGCACAGTTAAAGGGAAAACCAGTCCTCCCTAAATAAGAGGTCGCCACAGGAATGCACTTATAAAATAAATCTTCACCTCTCCCGCAGAAAGGAGATGTTTCCCACAAGACCAGTGCCAGTGGAAGTTGGGTGGGGATGCAGCGAGATGTCCTTGATGGGCCCATAGCCCATCCACTGTCCACTTTTTGCCCTTTTCTTCTTTGCTCCTTGGGCACTGCTGCCCAGAGGGAGAAGATTCGGAGATCCGGGTTAGCGGCTCTTCCTCCATGTTCCTTTCAGCGCTTGCTTGCCCAAAGATGGCGGGCACCCAGATAGCAACAGCACATAGATGTGCACAGGGCCAGAGGGGTCCAGGAGTGGGAGTAAGGTGCCTAGAAGTTCTACAACAGGAGTCCCCAACACGGTGCCCGTGGGTGCCACGCCCTGGGGCCCACCAACGACTATTAGAAAGTGGGCAGGGGGCCAGGTGGGGCTTTTGCCCAGCAGGGCTTCTGGACGGCTGCGCAGATGAAAAGGCACCCTGTTAAGCAAGAGGTTCTGTCTGAAATGTTTGGAGAATTGAAATGTTCAATTCCTGATGTTCTATTAAGGAATAAAACCCAAGCACGGGAACTGAAGGAATGGGTGTTCAAAAAGGATGGGCTTATGGATCAGGGTGTGATGGCACGTTGTCTTACGGCACCCTTATTCAAGCTTTTTAAAAGGGATCACTGTCAGTCCCTGTATTTAGAGAAGTTCACCAGCCTGGAATTAAGATCGGCTTTTACAGCTTTTAAGATTTCAATCCGTGCCCTCAGTGAACAGGACCGGATGTTTCTTTGGTACTTCCCCCGCCCCCCCCCCCGGACTTTGTCTTTGTGATATGTGGGAAGTTGATGATATTGTACATTATAATCTGAGATGCCCGTGGCATGAAGGCCTTAGGCTAAAGTACATCATCCCTATTATTCCACAGCGTAATGGACTCTCCGATCTGGATCTGTACAAATTTTTACTCTTGGACCTTGACCACTATGTCTCTAGCAGAATGGCATTATTTGCCTTAGCAACAAGGAAAATCAGAATGACTAGTATTTAATGCAAATTAGATGGAGTATAGGAGTATACTGATATTTTTTTATTGTCTACATTACCATTTTATAGTCTGATGTATTATGTTATCACCTGTGGCTAAGACAATAAACTTATACTTGACTATGAGAGCTGTGCATTTGCTCTTGAAATTTTCTGTTGGCTCCCCCCCCCCATGGCAGCCGTTTTGTTGCTTTGCCCAACTTCCTGAGTCAGAATGCCAAAGGTACCCTCTGGGGCAAAAAGCTTGGGGACCCCCCTCCGCTCTACCATGTCTCCCCATCTCCTAATGAAAGGAGAGGGGTATCACCCGAGGCCAGTGACAGTGGTGCCCCTACTGGGCCTTGGGCCTTGGCAGTTTCCCCGTGATGCCAACCCCTGATGCCACATGGCCTGTTGAAGGGAATGCCACTTGCTCCTTGAATTCTGTCATCTTTGAGGATCCAGGAGGGTGTGACTAGGACCATTTAACAGCCAGCCATTCCAGAGCCATTGTGGAGCAGTGGTTACAGCGTCAGACTAAGATCTGGAAGACCCAGGTTCAAATTCCCACTCTGCAGTCATAGAATCATAGAGTTGGAAGCGACCTCCGGGGTCATCTAATCCAACCCCCTGCACAATGCAGGAAATTCACAACTACCCCCACCCCCCACCCC